ATTGTTATAAATAAACATTGTTTTTATAAAATAAAAAACCTCGCTATCTTCAAATTTAATTAATTATCCATCATAAGGCGAAATAAAATTGTGATATTTTGCACATTATTGTATTGCATATTGATAAAATTTTATTAAAATACTTATATATTAATAGACTAATAATATATTTATAAATATCTTTTTTTTTTAGGTATAATTTTTTTCAATTAATTCTATCTTTGAAATAGTACCAAACTATCTTGAAACTATATAACATATTCTAATAGAAAACTGAAATGTCATCATTCATTTACTTATACTGCAAAGAAAACATCCTCTTTTTATTGCAAGAAGTGCAATACAAAAATTTCTTGTTAATTGTATAAAAACAAAAAATTGTTTTTTTTTTTACGTAATGTCGAGAGGTTCGTTGTAAAAATGTCAACGGGGTTTCCAGATGAACTTCCGTTTTGGCTCGAATATCGGGCGATTTACTTGCGAGAAAGTTTATTTGCGCTTAAACGCATGTTGTGCCGCTGTCAGCTCGGCTCATACATTTTACGAGCCAGGCTCCGCCGCTCGTAGACGGCTTTATAGCGGGGGAGGTGAGTAAAAATCGACAAACAATCTATTCCATCCGTACATGTCGGGCGCGGCCCGTCGTCGTTACACGAGATGATAAGTCCTACACGAATACGTCGTCTTCGTCGTCTTTCCACTTCCTCAGCCGGCCTCGTTGTCGGTCTCTCTGTGACGGCGGCAACTTTCTGTGAAAATTTCGGCGTAACTCAAAAGCTAAGTCAAACATGGGCGTGTTTCACGAGGTGTCTCAGTAAATCCGGTAAAGCCGCGAAGGCAAATTCCTGCGAGCGACACACGTCACGCTTTGCTTTACGCATCGTGTACGTATAGATATATAGATATACATATATACATATATATGTATATATCATATACATATGTATCGCAAACTGGATGTGTCTACTTAGGCACTTCGCACGTCGAAGATTGAAGATCACTTTGTCGTGATAAAGCTATAAATGTCGAATAATAAGCTTCTCGCAGAAGCTATTCTCTTTGACAAATAACATCTCGAAGAACAATACTCATTTGGCAAAATAAATGTAGACAAATAGAGGCATCATACGTTTTATTTTTTGGATATCGCAAATTAACTGTATATATAAAAGATGATTAATTTTGTAACAGCATTGTTTATTTATAATCTTTTTTTATAACGTTTAAGGTGTATAAACTTTCTCAGCTGAATATATAAAATGGCAACGTTCTTCTAAAAATTTTCAAAAGTGGGTTTGTGAAAAAAAAAAGTTATTAGTTCTTTTCTGAAAGCTACAGATAATTTTAATATTCAGTGTAACTATTCATCGTTTATGACTTTTTTGATATTGTCTGGTTATTAAATTATATAATAGAATTGTATGATAGAATTTATTGAGAAGATTTTTTGCATCACTTTATAATTGCGTAATGAATTATTTTATATATTTGCAGGTCAGAATTCATAGAGATCTTTTTGCATTACTTTTGTCGCGTGATAGATTGTCATTTTCATATAGATCGGAAGTAACATAATTGCGCA